ATAACATAGATAGTAATTTGTTGAGAAACAAGACATATAATATAGTTTTTATACAACAGAAATTATATAATATTTAGTTTACTGATATTATTATTCACGTCAATAATTATTACTCCTTCGGGCCTTCCATTGTAAAAGTTAGCAGATGATTTTTCTTCTTCTTTTAATTATAAGATTTTAGCTTATTTTCTCCTCTAAATTTATAATTATTTTCTAAACTCTTCTTATTGATTGCATATATACATTGATATGATTTTTTTTATCAAGAAAATAGTTTTCAATGCAAATAATTAAAAAAATAGTTTTAAAAAAAAATAAAACACGTGTTTTTTTAAAGAATAGCTAGCATAATTATTTTTCTCAATATTTTTAAATTAATTATCAACTCCTAATAATTTTTTTCAATTAGCTTTCAAATTAAAAAAAAAACAAAAGACCTTTTCAATTTTTGAGTTATTTATTATCTTCATGTTATTCTAATTCTTGATATCAAACAAACGACACCAATTGATATCATCTTTTGAAAATTGTGGGTGGTGTTGAGAGGAGGGGCCATCAAACCATCTTTTCTTTTCTTTTTGCTTATGTAGGTATCCACTACCAGTAGCAGTGACTAATCCCTTCGCTGCGGGGACCTCCACTTAAAGGCAAAGTACAGGCTAATAGGGTGGGATTCGAACCCTCACCACTTGGTTAAAGGACCAAGTGAGGTTACCACTAGGCCACTACTGTGTGATTAAACCATCTTTTCTTTATAAGCGTTGGGGACATGTGGGACAAAAGGACACATAAGGAAAACAAAATAATGCCGTTTTTATTATATTTCCTAGTCACAAGTTTTCCATTGCATGTATTTCAATGTCCTTACAAGAAAATTTCTCCCTATAGCTCTTTATTTTATTTTAAGTTGTGATATTTAAAACTTCAAAACCGGAGGGGGAAAAATTAAGGAAGAATCCCAAAAAAAATCTTTGAATTTCAAAATTTTAAATACGTATTGTTTATTATATTTTAATAACAATTAACAAAATAAAAAATAAAATGATAATATATTTTTATAGTTATTCTTGATTTGGAGTTTTAAAATTTTAGAATTTTTTTAAAATTTTTTTCAAAAACAAATACCTTATATAAATATAATAAAGAATTAAGTATTAAATAAACAAAGTGGTCATATCATATATCCATTAATCAACATTATTATTATTATAGTATTAGTTATAAATATAATTTTGTAAATACTAGAGGCTGAACCCTTTCAAAATATTGAGAGTAAAAGATATACATAAGGTGTGGATTCGAAATTTAACCATTTGCTTATATGATGAAATCCCCCATTATTTATGCCAATCTATATTAGTAAATTTGTTGTTGTTATTATTATTATTATTATTGTAACATAAAATTTAAATTTAAATATTTTTAGTCGTGTTCTAGTGTCAAAAGCATGTGTTGGTCCTAAATATAATTCATCCATAGCTTACTTTTAAGACAGCTTTATTATTTTAATTAATATTATTGATTATATCAATAATATAATAGTATTATGTTGATTAATTTAATATTAGGTTTTTTAAGTTTATCTGCGTCTTCACCCCAAAAAAAATATCATTATTTAGACTAACTTTTTTTTTTTTAAAATTAAGCCATATATACAACAAGATAAAGCTAAGAAAATAGACACTAACAACCCTTAGTTGAAATAATAAATGGTAGTCTTTATACTCTGACGTATACAACCAAAAAAAAAAAAAAAGAGCCAAGAAAAGACAACAGTTTCCAAACTTAAATTTAGGTGTCTCAGTGCCTGAAAGTAATGTGCAAGGTCAATGAAGTTCATTTGAAATTTCAAAACACAATAATTATGATGGGTTGTTCGGTGTAAAAAAAAAAGAAGAAAATGGATAAAGAAAATTAGTGCTTCCTAGAGATTCAAACAGAAAAGAAAAAGGACAAAGAAAATTAGTGCCTCTTTTCATGATTTATCAATTATCTTTTACTTAATTAAAATAACATGAATATAGAGGCAATTTCAACCTTTTTTTTTTAAATTATCATATATTTTATTTTTAATAACTCCTAACTATCACCTTGTTTTTTTTTTCAATTTTTTTTCCTTTATCTTCTTGTTTTGTTTTTTTTCCCCTGTAAAAAGGGAAAATCCAATTCATACTACTGAAAAAGTGTCCAAGCATGCTAAGACAAATAAGCCGAGGAGAAGGTACGTGTGTATACATGTGTATATTATTCATGACTCCTATATAATACAACTTATTATAATTTTTATATTTGTTTTTATTTGTTCTTGAATCATTTAAAAGACTATTTCATAAATATTTTGTAAATTTAAAAGACGAAAACAAAACATTGTGCAAATCAAAGGACTAAAGATATAGTTCTAGTAAAATTTATATATAAACTAAAATAATTCAACAAAACAGAATTGTTAAATGGGTGATATATAGCGTAAATTTACTCAGGAAGTTTTTTACTGGGCACCTAAAAAATTTTTCAGTACAAATATATTCTGAAAATTTAAAATCATAACAATAATATGCTGTAACTTCATGATGGACTGTTAAAATAATAATTTTGATAGTTAAAATTTTTTTTTTGGGAGTTGGAAAGGAAATTCACTACTCAAAAGATAAGTACAGGGGGGGGGGGAGTTACAGGAAACAAAAACGGTCAGCCTTAACCAAACAGGAGCAGGCCACACTGCAAAGTCTGAGGATGTGATCCAGATCTTCAGTTCCACCGTCGCACATTTCGCAGGAGTCTCTGGTATTGCCAACCTGATAGTCAATATTTTAACCATAGGAAACACTATGATTTTAAATTTTTTGGGCAATTTACACCCAATTTACACCTACGTTTATAATATATATATACCTATATATATATCTATATACTCCTCCAGTTCTTAATATAGGACCCAATTATTGAGTTGGTTTTGGTCTTAACTATAAGACTTATTTTTCATATTTATTAATTTTCTCTAAATTACTTATATGGATACTCCATCAACTATAATCAAGTAGAAGAAGGAGAGGGTGTATTAAGAAAGATAATTATGATATTTTAAGAAAAACATGTCACATTTTTTTATAATTAACTAAGTTATCTAACTTCTTTAATCTAACTAAATTAGTTAAATAGGTTTTATATTAAAGAGTGGAAGAGTATGTATATTTTCTTTTCCCTGCAACTTCGCGGTGGCTTCTTCTTCGCGGTGGAATATAATCTTGAATGAATCTTCTTACCCGTTTTCGCTCTCTTATTAGGAATTTTGTCGCCTCCTATGCAAAGGAAAAGAAAAGCAGAGCCGCGTTAGCTGCCCTCAAATAAGTCAAAAAGCATTCTCTTAATAATTGGCCTTTAACAAGTCACCCAAAAAAAAAAAGCACCTTTAACAAAAGATGTCGGCCACTTTACTGTAATGCACAGTCGTCTCCAAATATTGCTGTCAAATTATTTGGCTAAAGAGCTCTTAGCTTTCCCTTGCTTTGGCGTTAGGCGCACTTCTCTGTTTGCTACTGTCAATCCCTTACTTTTCTTCTTCTTCCTCATCCCTTTTGCTACTATAAAGCCGAGGATGATGAAGAAGTTTTTTTCTTCATACAAATTTATTGCCTTCGTCTTTTTTTGTTTTTTGTAAAAAGGGAAAATTCATACTACTAAAAATGTGTTCAAGCATATTTAGTCGATCATAACTTTGTTTTCTATTAGTCTACTATTAAATATTAATATTTTCTCTTAATAGCGGCATTTTCTCCCTGGCAACTTCTTGGTGCCTTCTAATTCACGTAATATATATGATGAAGAACTCTTGAATTTTCTTACCCTTTTCTCTCCTTATTTCTTTCCCGTGTTGATATAATTTGGAAAAAAGAAAAAGAAAAGTCGTGTGGCACAGACCAAGACCCGTCTCCTTATTTCCTAATGTATCTTATTCTGCCATAATTTGGATTCTCACATTTTGGCAAATCGGCATCAAACACATGGCACTGACCCCACAAACCGCGTTACACTAAGACGCATCTTCATCCTACGTTGGGACCCTGACTTCCAATAATTCATTCACCTTTAAGTCAATAGATGACGGCCACTTTCTGTTATGCGCATCTCAAAACATTGCTGTGTGTTGTTTGGCCAAAGAGCTTTTAACTTTCCCTTGTATTGGCATTAGACGCGCTTCTCTGTTTGCTGTCATCGATCCCTTACTCTTCTTCATCATTTTTTTCCTTCCTACCATGTCTGGTGCAGATGTTGGCATTGCCTTTCTGTCTGCCTTCCTTCAGGTGGCTTTTGACCGGTTGGCAACTGGAGAAACCCTTCGCTACTTCCAAAAGAGAGGATTGAACGAGACACTGGTGAAGAAATTGAAGATCATGCTAATATCTGTGAACAGTGTAATTGTTGATGCTGAGTATAAGCAGTTTAGTGATCAAAATGTGAGGGCCTGGCTTTTGGAGCTCAAAGATGCTGTGTACGATGCTGAGGATGTCTTGGATGAGATTAACTATGAAGTCTACAAACGCAAGTTGGAAGCCGAAGCGGAAACTCAAACTGTGTACTAGCAAGGTACGAAAATTCTTCTTTGCTTCTTCTGCTTCATTTGACCAGGAAATTGAATCAAGGATGAAACAAGTCCTTGAAAACCTTGAATTTCTTGAGAGCAGAAGGATTGGTTTGGGATTAAAAGAAGGTAAAGATGGTGCTGTTGGGTCTGTCACAAGGTTGCCGACAACTTCTTTGGTGGATGAAGTTGGAATATGTGGAAGGGATAAGGACAAAGATATCATCATTAAGCAGTTGCAAAATGACCGTCACTTTTCTGTGATCTCTATAGTCGGTATGGGTGGGCTGGGCAAGACCACCCTTGCTCAGCTTGTTTATAATGATAAAAGGGTTAAGAGTGAATTTGACCTCAGACTTTGGATATGTTTTCTGATGACTTTGATGTTTTGAGGTTGACAAAAATAATTTTCAAAAAAATCATGGCATCTAACGATGAGGCAGAAGATTTAGATGCACTTCAAAATAAGTTGAAGGATTGGTCGTCTAAAGAAAAATTTCTTATTGTTCTTGATGATGTTTGGTGTGATGATTACGCATTATGGGAAGCTTTTTTAGCACCTTTCATAGGTGGGGTTGTGGGAAGCAGAATTCTTGTTACTTCACGCAATGAGAAAGTTGCCTTAGCTGTCCCCTCTGATGAAATATATCACCCAAATCACTTGTCAGATGAAGATGGTTGGTTGTTATTTACAAAGTATGCATTTCGCAACTGTTGTCCACCAACGAATTTTAATCATGAAGAAATTGGAAGAAAGATTGTTAAAAAGTGCAAAGGTTTGCCTTTGGCCTTGAAAACAATTGGGAGTCTCTTGTACAAGAAATCATCTTGGGAGGAATGGAACAACATTTTGGGAAGTGAGATATGGAACATTTCTTATAATAATATTCTTCCTGCTTTGATATTGAGCTATCATTATCTCCCTTCTCATCTCAAGCAATGTTTTGCTTTTTGTTCATTATTCCCGAAAGATTATGAATTTCTCAAGGAGCAATTGATTGGATTGTGGACGGCTCACAATTTCTTACAAGCCTCTCAATCAAATAAGTCAATTGAAGAAGTAGGCAATGAATACTTCCAAGAGCTTGTGTCAAGATCTTTTTTTCAGGAGTCTTCTACACTAAAATCATTTTTTGTTATGCATGACATTTTCAATGATTTGGCAAATTTTGTATCAGGAGAGCTTTGTTTCAAGCAAGAGGTTAAAGAGGCGGCATATAATGTAGAAAAAACCCGTCACTTATCTTTTTGGGGTCATCAATATAGAGAATATGGACAGTTTGAAAATTTGGAAAAAATGAAAAAATTACAAATATTCTTGCCTCTTCCTAGTTTTGGGTGGATTTCAAGCGACCTAATATTTGACCAATTATGTAAGTGCAAATGCTTGCGATTTTTATCTCTGGCTTCCAATAAAACAATTAAGGAGATACCTGATTCTATAGGAAATCTCATACATCTACGGTGTCTTGATCTATCTTTTTGTGAAGAAATTAAGAGACTTCCTGAATCAATATGTCTGCTGTATAACCTACAAATATTGTGGTTGGTCAATTGCAGACTCTTGGTTGAGTTGCCTGTTGATTTTCATAACCTAAACAATTTACGTCTTTTAGATTTACAATTCATTAGCTTGAAAAAGATTCCACCAAATATGGGAGAGATGAAAAATCTTCAAGTTCGTCTGACATCATTTGAAGTGGGCAAAAGTAATGAGTTCAACATCAAACAATTAGGCGAACTCAATCTTCAAGGACAGCTTTCAATTTATAAGTTGCAGAATGTAGTTCATGGAATGGATGCCTTGCAAGCCAACTTGAAAGAAAAATGTAACCTTGAGGAGTTACGCTTCGAATGGAATGAAGACACCAACGATGATTCTCAGAATGAGAGGGATGTGCTAGAGAAGCTCCGACCTCACCAAAATTTGAAGAAACTATCAGTCGAGTACTATGGTGGCACAAGGTTTCCAGATTGGTTTGCTGATAACACATTGTCCAACGTAGTGGAGCTCCAGTTAAACAGTTGCAAGTATTGTTTTGTGTTGCCATCGTTAGGCCTTTTGCCGTCTCTCAAGTCACTGTTCATTAGAAAGGTGGATGGCATTGTGGCTATTGGTGCTGAATTTCTCGGAAGTGATTATTCTACTGTTCCATTTAGATCTCTTGAAACCTTGAAGCTCGAGGGAATGGTGAATTGGGAGAAATGGGATTGTACCACTGCTTCAAGGGCCTTCCCATGCCTTAAAGTTCTTTGTATAATAGATTGTCCAAAGCTGAAAGAGAATTTGCCGGAACAACTTCTTTCTTTAGATGATCTTGTTATTGGAGATTGCCCACAACTTGTAGCTTTGGTTCCACGAGCCTCAACAATTCAACGGTTGACTCTTAAAAACTATGGAAACGTGCGGTTGGAATATATCCCATCCACTCTAAAAGAACTCCGCTTTCATGGACCATGCAAGAATGTGAGTTTGCTTCAAAAGATTGAGCAAACCATTAATAACTCCTGTATTGAAGAGGTTGCGATTTGTGACTGTCCGGATTGGGAGTTCCCATTGAAGCAACATCATGACTCACTTCGTCTCATACAGATAGTTAGAAGTTGTGGGTCCCTTGGGACCTTCCCATTGGATCAATTCCCTGCACTTGAGGGTTTGCATCTGTCTGAGTGTAATAATCTTGAAATGATTTCTATTTCAGAGGGGCGCAACCATGGGAATCTTGAAATTTTGCGCATTGAGAAGTGTCCAAAATTCGTATCCTTTCCGGAAGAGGGGTATTCTGCCCCTAGGCTAAACTATTGCTCGTTTGAAGATTTGGAGGATTTGAAATCAGAACCTGAGCATATCAACATTTTTGCTCCGTCTCTTAGTCGACTATCTATAAGAGATTGTGAGCAAATGGAATCGTTGCCAGAGGGGGGTCTGCCATCAAAACTGATGCAACTTTCTATCAGCAAATGCCCGAAACTGTTTGCATGTCGAATGCAATGGGGTTTGCACAAGTGTGATTTTCTACGTCACTTGAGCATCTCAGGTGATGATGTGGTGGAGTCTCTACCTGAACCAGGACTACTCCCAACTTCTCTTACTTCTCTTTGGATCTACAACTGTTCCAATCTCAGAATGTTGGACTACAAGGCTCTTTGTCAATCGCCCTCCCTCAAAGATTTGACTATTGTGAATTGTCCGAGACTCCAATGCTTGCCCAAGGAGGGCCTCCCCAGTTCCATTTATTACCTTGAAATTAGGGGAGCTTGTCCGACGCTTAAACAAAGATGCCAGAAACCAGAAGGGGAAGATTGGGAAAAGATTGCTCACATCCCTCACGTTATTATTTCTTGCAAACCCTCAGGTATCTTTTGCTGTGTATCTATTCCTATACACATATTCCTTTCTGTTTAACGCAATCAATAGAAAAAGTATGCATTGGTGATCATACCTGGAATTATTTTATATTCGCTCTCTTCTTAACGTTGCTTCAAAGTTTCTCTTTGCTTGATTACCTAAGAACTACATTCCCATTATAAAACTAAGCACTCCTTTCACATTAACATCTATATATTTGAATTCTAAAAATTTATTCTGGTATTCTTTCTTGTTAGGGGCAATAACAAATGAAGATGCTTTTTTGTTCTTTGGCTTGCCATGAAGATCTCTTCAGGGGGTAAGCACACATACTGGAAGGAGATTTGAAATGAATTATTTATACAAATAAATTTCCATTACTCACTCACATTGCCGAATATTTTTCAAATACTGTTAGATATTACATTCTTATTGATTTTTACTGATATATGATCGCCGCGCACTTTACAGAGAGACTTGAGTAAGCAGAGCTGAAAAAGGAAAGAAGCTGTTGATGATTGTATCATGGAATTGTTCTTAGGCTTGAACATTTGGAGAGTATCCACAATTTGAATCATTTTGGGCATCTGGATCGATAATCAGTTTGTGAAGGGAAAGTGACCAAATTATTGTATTTTCTGGCCACCTTCTAAGTTTCCTTTCTGTTTGCAAAATTACGTTTGTTAAACACAAGTTTAGAAATAAAACTTTGGGGAAAAACCAGAACTTCATTTGCTCAAATAAATGTGCCACGTTCTCTATTGGGTCATTCATATGATTTTTTATCAGCCAAGCTCAATAAAATTAAGCCTCTTTGTCCAAGTGAGAAGGAATGAAAGCATCATAATACATACTTAAATTTCTTCTTCTCTGTTTCTATGCTCTTGCTTTTAACTATTCTGCTGAATCATTTATTTACTTGAAGTGTGAAAATCTCTGAATTTCTTAAAGTGAAAAGAGATACCGATACATATACTTTAGAGGAACTTATTTAGATGAATGAATAGAATTTTTAAAGCTTTGTTTTATGTTTTATGTTTTTTGGAAAAGCTTTGTTTTATATTTTAAATTTGACGTTTCTATATATTTTTTAGAATGAACTTTGGCTCCGGTAACATACTTACATTACATGTATTAGTTTTGATAGATCTTAATTATATTCTGATGCTAGATAGGTAAAGACATGGAAAAGCTGAAATTTTTGAGGCAAAGATTGATTGAAAATAATTTTTTTTCCTTCTTTAAAGAAGTACTGCCTCCGGTCCTAATTATAAGACCCAGTTGACTTATTTGAGGAGATTAAGGAAATAAATTAAGTTAGTTATTTGTAATAAATAAGTGTTGTCATTCCTAAAATATCCTTGCTAATTAAGTGTATTGGCTAGAACTATCATTATTAGAAGGATTATCTTGGAAAAAAATGCATAAATATGAGAGACAAAATGGATTGGGGTCTTATAATTAGGACCAAACAAAAAGTCAAACAAGGTCTTATATTAAGGATCGGAGGTAGTATTATGACTATTATAGTCAGATTCAATGAAAATTTTTTTAAAAAAATGGTTTACATTGTTTTTTGAAATATCAGTTAATGATAAATCTTAGAGTATAATACATTTATTACCTCCTTGTTTCACCTAAATTACAGAAATATTTCCTCTATTTTGAAAATATATATAAATTGTTCTTGAAATTAAAATGTATATCACATAAACCTTCTAACTGTTAATTAAGCTTGACTTCCAAACTTTTATTTTGACCAAAATATCTCTTTTTAACGTAAATATTATTTAAATATTTATACGTCAAAAAAATAATTTTTGATAAAAAAAAGATAATTATAATACATCTAGTTTCAAGGTTCTTTATATGTTATAAAATTTATAAATTTTGATTATATTATAGAATCATATAATTTAATTCTTCATGACATATTGAAATTTATTTATTTGGTTTTTTTTAAAATGACTAGAAAATATTTTAAACACTTATTTGTTCATCATATAATCTAAATTATGTGAGTTTGGGACGTTATATAATTTATAATTTAAAATTTTTAAACCAAAATTTTGTTGCAAATATTTATAACTTATTTGATTAATTATATATTTATTTAAAGAACTAATCAAATTTTTATTCAATTTTTTATGGTTATATTAACTAAATTACTTAATTTTCTGTCCCAACATGATAAAAACATTAAGCAAATAACTATTTATAAAAATAAAAATAAAATTAAGGTAAATAAACAAATTTTCAAAATTTTCAAAATAGTTTTAGCCAAAATTTAAGGATATAGTATGAGGAAAGATAAATCAATAAATAAAAAATAGTTCAACACCAATTTTAATTAAAAAAGCAAATTTTTAGAATATTTTTAACATAGTTAACAATTTGGACTTAAGTATATATTTTCAAAATAAAAAAGAGGTTTGTGTAATTAGGACAAAATACAAGAAACGATAAAGTATTTTACTCTAAATCTTAACACCTAGAAGCTAGAAGTGGAATATTATAGACTATGGCATTCAAATTGTTATAATTGACTTGATAAGCCAATCAATTCATAAAAAGTACTCACTTCTCTATAAGCGTAATCAATTGTAACTACAATGATTTATGTCAACCAAAAATTTTGGTACACATTTTTCTGATTCAAATGTCAACAAATATTAGTTTTGATGTTAATTTCTCTTCATGTTGTGGCAGGTTAAAGTTTCATGATTTCTTGATAAGGATATATTTGTCAGAAATCATCTTCCAACTTTGCCACTCGCTAAACAGTGGCAACTCAAGAGAAAATAACTTTAGATTATTAAACAGGATAAACGTCTTGACATGTTTTAGTTTTCGCTAATGGAGGGGGAAAGTGTGTAAAATTAGAGTTAATGATACCCCAAAAAATGAAAGAAATAAAAAAGAAATAGACTGGCTATCATTTGTTTCCTTCTACTTTGATTTCATAGAATTCTCCTCTAAAATGAAGAACCAAACTTGAATCCCCATTTCATGCATTAAAATCAGTACCTAGGACACTACCAACCAGCCTAAACACCAATTTTTTTTTTCCCACTCAAATATACAAATAATGGAAAAATCAACATCGTTTTTCATACATTAGCCTTCCTCACACTCAGAACAGCATTGGCTTTGACCATGGAAACAAGATTAGCATAGTTGGCTCTCTTCGCTTCAAAAATCCTAGCGTTGCGTGCTGACCATAAAGAGCGGCTCATGAGCGAGAAGTAAACAGCCCACCGAACCCCATCAACAGAGCAACTTTGCTTGAGGTTCCAACCTGTCCATCCTTGCAGGTCCTGTATAGAGAAAAACTGTAATGCCACATTCGATGGGATGAGTCGGGACCAAGCCTCAACCGCGCTAGCACAGTCACGAATTACGTGTAACAGCGACTCAACTCTATCAGTACATTCAGGACATCCCTGAAATTAATATTTATTAGCAAACCCTCAGGTATCTTTTGCTGTGTATCTATTCCTATACACATATTCCTTTCTGTTTAACGCAATCAATAGAAAAAGTATACATTGGTGATCATACCTCGATTATTTTACATTCACTCTCTTCCTAACGTTGCTTCAAAGTTTCTGTTCGCTTGATTACCTGAGAAGTACATTCCCATTATAAAACTAAGAACTCCTTTCACATTAGCATCTATATATTTGAATTCTAAAAATTTATTCTGGTATTCTGTCTTGTTAGGGGCAATAACAAATAAGATTATTCTGTCACTTCAGTTCCCAATCTAAAGCATTGTCAATGGACTCACTGAAGATGCTTTTTGGTTCTGTGGCTTGCCGTGAAGATCTCTTCAGGGGGTAAGCACACATACAGAAATTTTTTAAGCAGAGATTGATTGAAAATTGTTTTTTGTTCTTTAAAAAAGTAATATGACCTTATATAGTCGGATTCAATGAAAATTCTTAAAAAATGGTTTACATGTTTTCTTTTTCGAAAATATCAGTTAATAATAAATCTTAACACCTAGAAGGTGGAATATTATAGATCAGAGTATTAAAATCAATTCGCACAGAGTATTTACTCCTCGATAGACATACTGTATTGATTTTTGTATTATGATCTAAAGCCACACATTTTAGTACACATTTTTCTGATTCAAATGTGAACAAATACTAATTTTGGTGTTGATTTCTCTCCATGTTTTCACAAAATTTTAGTTACTAAATGTAACCTTAGTTGATACTTTCTCCCAATCTGCAACTTTCTCGTTATTTTTCTTTTTCCCCCTTTTCTGTTTAGGCTATGACTACATGTATTAACAACCCTCGTTTTATTATTATAGTTGACCTTTTTTTTTAAAAAAAAAAATTCTCTCCATGTTGTGGCAGGTTGAAGTTTCATGCTTTCTTGGCTGGATGGAAATTACAGGATGAGAAATATTTACTTGATTGCACATTGAGCAACTTCACACTAATTTTGCAGAGATTATTTGTTTGTCAGAAATCATCTTCTAAAATCAAGAGCCAAACTTGAATGTCCAACAGCAGAATCAAACACATTTACACTTGATGCTGGATCCCACCCTACATGAATTAAGGGTAATTGTCAATACACAAGAAAAATCAGTATTTAAAACACTACCAACCAACTTAACCACCGATTCTTTTTTTATATATGCTTTATTTTAAATGAATTAATTGTATAAAAATTGAGAACACACACACACTGAATTGAAATGTTAGGCCATTGGATTTGGAGAGTTTATTAGAGCAAGTTTATGATGAACTTCACGACTGAAAAAATTACTTATCTCATTAGTATATAACATAGATAATAATTTGTTGACAAACAACACATATAATATATTTTTTATACAACAGAAATTATATAATATTTATTTTACTGGTATTATTATTCAAGTAAAAAATTATTACTCCGTCTGGCTCTAAATTATAAAAGTTAGTAGATGATTTTTTTCCTTCTAAATTTAAGATTTTAATTCACTTTATCCTCTAAATTTATAGTTCTTTGGTAAACTTTTCTTATTAATTGCATATATATATTGATATGATTTTTTGTCAAGAAAATACTTTTCAATGCAAATAATTAAAAAAGTTGTTTTAAAAAAATAAACACATGTTTTTTAAGAATAACTAGATTAATTATTTTTCTTAATATTTTCAAATTAATTATCAAACTCTTAATAATTTTGTTTCATCGGCTTTCAAATTAAGAAAATATAAGACCTTTTTAGTTTATGAATTATTTATTATTGTCATGTTATTCTAATTCTTGATATCCAATTGATACTCTCTCTTATCT